GACACAACGTTGGACTCTATAGTACGCCTCTGGACTCAAGGGTGGACTCTACAGTACACCTCTGGAAACAAGGGTGGACTCTACAGTACGCCTCTGGACTCAAGGGTGGACTCTACAGTACACCTCTGGAAACAAGGGTGGACTCTACAGTACGCCCCTGGACACATGGGTGTACTCTTTGATTGGGTGTGGTAATTCCATAACACCCTCTCCAGGGACTAGAAAAGATGGCTGTATTTGCAGCTCTGGGCTCTTGTTTGACATTGAAACTATCTAGGATACTGCAAGTCACTTTTTTGAGGGCAAATGACACTTGCAAACATCGGCGTGGACTTACTCTGCAAACAATCCAAACTCTGCAGTGAACTAAGACCAGGTAGCACTCTACTCTTCATTAAAATTATATTTTGAAACAATTAAGCTGAATATCTGAATTTTATTATTAGTAATTAAAAGAACTTTGTCTCTCTGAAGAACTATAAGAAGGAATACTGTGTTACATTCCTGTCTGGTTGTGGCAGTGAGTGAAATAGACACTTTCTAAGTCAAAATTGCAGCCACAGATGCTGTAAAGGTGGGCCTTTTTCTGTTCAAACACAACTTTACCCCTCTGCACATATGGACACAGTTTGAGGAGTTCGGGGGTGAAGGAACTCGAGTGGCTTGCACAGAGCCCTGGCCTTAAAGTAAACTCCACTTTATTATTACATGTTATTAAAAATTGCCTTTCCATTTAAGACTGCAGCTATTTTCTAATACTGTCAAAAAATGTAATGCAATATGATGACCTGGAGGTGTTTTGAACACAGTTGGTATACAGAACACCCCCAGAAAAGTAACTTCCTCCTTCTGTAATTGGCTTACTGATTTTGACAGATGTGTGCACTAATTTTAGGCATCCCTTGCAATAGGAATTTCATTTTTGGTGAGGTACTAACTAAGGGTTAATTACTACTAAAGGGATGCTGACATTAACTTTCCTCATTACAACACAGACAGCCCACCAGCTGATTATAACGAACACATACCCTACTAACCAGGAATCCGTTTGGAAAGGATATGATGCAACAAACAGCTATTTTTTCAGAACAGAAACAGGTAGGAATCTGCAACAAAGTTTGTTAAAATCCTTGTGATGTACACTGATCACCCAGAAAGGACTGATTTTTTTGCCAGCAAATGTTTACCTCTGCTGAATACCTTTGGAATAGGGGATGCTATGCCCCAGCATTCAGGATCTCCCTTCAAAAACACTACTGGACTGTTTTTCTTTAGTCAGTGAAGTGTCCTAAATGTTCATGTAGCCTGTTGTGATTTCAGCTCCTTTAAGAGAAAAGATATTGCAGCTGCAGGTGGAGCCAGAGAGCACAGGTTGTGGAGACTGTATACAGAGCTGATTTGGATACGTTTGCTGAAAGGATTTTTGAGAACTGCATTACCCAGGAGGCTGTGGGGAAGGAAACAGGAGGCTTATGGGTTGCAACGGCAGAGCAGCCTCAGTCTGGGACAGCCATCTGGAGAGGACAGACCTGTGTAACCCTGTGTGGGTTAAGACTGTGTGAAACAAAGCTGTGTGGTCACCGCTGACATATAGGGACACACAGGCTCTGTGCAGCCGTCTATAGAGAGACTGATCTGAGTTGCTGAATCGGAGAGGACCCGATCGAGTGCCTGAAGTGAGGTCCGGTGACTTGGTTAACGCAAAGGACATCGAGGCCTAGTCGCACTGCCGAACCAGCCACTGGGGTGATCCAGCCATCCAGAGGGAGACGACTGCCAGTATCCTGAGTGAGTGAAAACCTCTTACAAGGGACCCAGATGACTTCACCTTCCTCCCAGAGTCGACTAGAGAGAGAGAGGACACCCAGCTTCCACCAGCAGACTTCATCTCTTCCCATTTGATCTGAGGAGTGGTGAGAGGCCTTTGGCCGCAGTGACAACCTGTTTATTGTTCACATCTGCTATACAGCAAGGGCCCCAACGTTGGCTAGCCTAGGACAATACTACTGGCCAGTAGTTTAGCGGGGGATAGATACTTTTAAGTAAAGATATTAATGTTGATTGCATTCAATCTAAGTATATTATCTGAGACATTCTGACATTGCAGGCTTTCCTGCATGCAATAGATTGCTGCTGCGTGTCACATTGCCTTATCCTGTTATTGGTTGTATTACAGGTGATTGGGGAGGCGTTAAGTGTTTGTTCTATTCCATAGTCATTAAATCTGTTATAAAACTTCACAAGGTGTGCTGGTGTGCTGTGGGTTCATTGCTTGTGGTGTGTCACAGAGGTGAAACAGAAGACCCGATCATCCAGCGGCTCCTTCGGGGGTGAGCGCTACATTCAAATAACCATTTTTTTCTGTATTTAAATGGAGTATGTTTTTATTATTGTTTATATTAAACCTATGTAATTTGGATCAGTTTTTACTGGAAAATGTTAACCCTTTGCCATATTGACATAGAGCCAAAGCCGTTATATGATTTATAGGCATTAACTCATTATTGTGCATGTAAAGGTTCTGTGCTTTATGATGTCTTCATCTGAAATCAGCTATGCTGAGACATGTAAACACAATGTCCTGTTGTAGATACCTATTCAGTTCTATGGGCCTATAGAGTCTTAATTATCCTTATCCTTAATGTCACAGATGGGAGTCCATATCCATTAGTAACAAGGAAAACACGGAATTAGATTGCTGGTACTGGCACTGCTGGAACCAGCACAATGTAGGACTTGAGAGGATACAGAGTGACATGAGGTGACATTGGATGACATGTGGAATTCGATGTGAACATGACTTATAGTGCCTGCAGAGGTGAGAGCCTAGAGAAGGGCTGAAACACAGAGTCTAAGGAGCTACCTGGTATTTTCCAGAGCACCCACAAGGGGCGATGGGCATTGCTGCAGGACAGTTCCCAGGTTGCGGCCCGGCAGCTACTGGGTCAGGTGCACCAAAACACAGAAAAGCAGAGTCATTGGAAGCCCTGGGGTGCTGAAGTCACAGGCAGGCTGGAGTGTAAAAGATTCTGGGAGAACTGGGGTGTTCTTCAGCCATCTCTCGATTATTAAAAATATCACAAAACAGTCCTAAGTAAGCTACCAAAATCGTAAAATGTTCAGATTGTTAGTGGTAGGTCGCCTCATTTTTTGATGCACAGGGTCCTATTGATCTTGGCCTCTTCTCTGGCAGTAGGTGACTTCAATGATGCAGAGAGATTAAATCAGCGTAGGAGTGCAAGGTGCTGTGGTACAAACCCCTCTTGAAGCAGGTCCATGATGCCCTGTACCCACAGTATATCCTCAGCCCAGGATGAATGGTTAAGTGTCATTCAACCTGGAACACTAAGAACATTGTGTGGCGATAAAGAATGACTGCAGGGACAGCTCCAGAGAGGAGGTTAGCGTTGGAGCCTTAGCCACAATTTCAATCCAGACGTGACACGTGTTTTTAAATTCAGCCCAGAGTTAGGCTTCAAAAACAGAGACTCCTATGTAAAGCTATAAAAACAGAACCATTCTTGATTGCAACCAGCCAAACGCTTACTTTTTAATTCCACCCTGCACTGAAAAAAATGGCAGCTGCACCATGATTGGTTGCTATGTGCGGTCCTCTTGACTGAGCACTTGTGTTTATATATGAGCCCAACATGTGAGATCATTGCTTCTGCCCTGGTTTCTTTCCACTTGACAGGCAATGGTAATTGAAGGAAATGACCCTCTCCAGGTCTCAGCAGTGTCAGAGAATGCACTTGACAGATCTTTTCATGCTCGCTGTATATATATATGTGTGTATACATTCAGTGGGAGGAATGAGGACGTCACGATTATTCCCTCTTGTATGAGATAAGACTTCAGTAATCATGACACGAGTCCTGCTGTGCGCGGCTGGCTGCAGTTTGGAATAAATGAGATTTGTCACTCTCTGAGCAAGAGCTGCAGCTCACATGCTTACTGCTCTGTCCCTCTTTTCCTGCTTTCGGAGGTTGACTAAAGCAACCAATCAGAATTCAACTACCAAATAAAAGGGTCAGTCCATCAAGGAAAATAAAAGTTATTTCAGTTTTTGGCAGACAATAGAGAAGTAAATTGTCTTAACTGTTCTCTCAAGAACCTTGGAGATTGAGATCTCTACTTTTGGAACTGCCAGCAGATATTATTATTGATATAAGGGATTCATATAGCACCAACAGTTTGCGCAGCGCTTTACAAAATGGAGGGAGTCAGTACAGTTACTATACAGTGTACAGATTGTTTTACATCCTTTTAGATATTTTTTATATTTTTTATTTATCTTGAGTTATTTATCTTATTTGTATTTATTCACTGGCGCTGATCACTTACTGTTTTTTTTACAGTTACTATACAATTTCCATATACTGTAGGAGGGTTAGGAGGGCCCTGCTCCTGAAAGCTTGCAATCAGATATGAAAGGGACCCAAGCATGAATTCATGACTCTCTCCCCATACCTATGTGACCCTGGTGGATGGCTGCATGGCCAACTACCAAGCACCAGCACTGTCACATGGGTGGAAGGGGAGTTAGTCACATGCATCCCCATACCTAAGTATTTCTTTTTGCTCTATTTGGCCGTGCGGAGCAGTTAGAGAGTTGTGGGGTATATGCAGCTGAATGATGCAGCATTAGTTTGATCCCATTGTGTGGAAAAAGCAGAGGTTCGCATTACAAATTCCAATGCTTTCCCAGAGAGGAAATTCCGCTGAAGCTTAGTTGTTATAAAGTAGAAGTATGATGTATTTCCAAATCTCTAACCTGCAACCATAATCAGTGACACTAGGAGAGTCATGTGATAGAGGCAAAGATGGAAATTGTTGTCACAGGAACAGGAGGTGAAGGGAGCTCTTTCAGTGGGAACCCCTGTTTTGCGGGCACTGTCTAAGACGGGGCAATCCCTAGCTTGTAAGAGATCTTCAATTACCTCTGGCTGTTTCTCTGTGACAGGAAGTAAAGGGACATTTCCTCCAAAAATGTAACATACTTACCCGGCCGCATTCCCCCGAGCATCGTCCGGTGCTGCCCACTTCCCCGGCGTCACTCCGCTTCTCCCTAGCTGTCACAATAAAGTAGGGAATTTTGAAATGTTCGGCGTCATAGTAAACAGTAGACGCTGAGCATTTCCTTGCACCCGCTACCCGCTCCCCATCCTGAACTCCTGTGATATCCACTCTGCTCCTAAGGATTTGTGTATAGCTGCTCTTTCCACACTGCAGCTCCCTGGTGGACAAGATGAAACCTCCTTGTGCCTGCTAGTGATCCTCTGCAGCCTTTTGCCATACTCTGTACAGCATTTCCTATCCATCCAGCTGGCCATCCTTGCACACTCGCCAGTACTCTCCAGATCAGTTACCTGCTCCCTGGGCACTCTTAAAACTACAGTACACCTCACCCAGGTTGTGATTCAACTGGACCTGCTTATATATTCCAAGGGTTCCTTCTGTGACTCCTTGCTATCCATCCATCCCTTCACACCCAGGACGCCTACCCTGAGTTGGCAACGCAGCTAACCGCAAGTACTACTTTTTCTAACCTTTAGAGCAGAGCTATTTGACAACTCATGTTGCACTAATCATTCAGTCTGTGAGGAATTGAGTGGTCATATGGTTGCGTAAATCTGAGTTCGTTGTGACTTTCCTCCAATCCGCAGCTGAGATCCATCGAGACACTGTGAGTTAACCTATTTGATGTTGTATGGTGCATGCATTACAAATAAAAAAAACTGCCTAATAGTGCTTAAAAAGTGTACCTAAAAAGAAAATGTTAGATTATATACATACCTTACCCCCATCTTCTGCATTGCAGGGGGCGTAATGTGACTACCCTTTTAGCAAAATTTCTGGGGAGTGATGAGTGCCCCAAATCTTGCAAGAAGACACGACAGTCCAGTGCAAGAGCACCTTCTTGGGAGATATGGGCTGCTCAGCCTTCCCCAGAATCTTACCGGAAGGAGCCAAAGGTAGAAGCTTGAGGTGAGGCAAATACCAAACCTAACTTTTGTCTACAGGTACACTTGTGGAATACTATTGGAAAGCAATATTTACAGGGGAAGGGGACCTGGACCTAATAAGATGACCTTGCATTGTACTGCAATAAAAAGCCAGACCAGTGAGTATAGAAAACTGCTGCATCAGAAAGGACTGCCATAAAAGCATCATTAAAAAAATGTTCTCTTACCAACAATCAACCTCCTATCTACCAGACCAGATGAGGTGGAAACCTACAAACTGTCCAATTTTTATTCACTATCTCAATCAACAATCTTTAAAATAAACAATATCCCATTTTCACATTTTTAAACGTTCTGAAAAAAAAATGTAGTAAAAATTTACACTAAACCTTTCCGCCAAGAGAAAAGCTGTTTCTGATCAGCCCCAGAACAGCGGGATAAGGTTCTGCAGAGCAGTAATTGGAGCAATGCATGCTGTCTCCGAAACACACTTAATAACTGGCGATGAAGCTGTATCAGTCACAGCACAAGGCTCATAATCAAAGTTTTAGGAAGCAGAAGATAGCAGCGTTTGTACAGAATCTTCTCTCTTCCTGGAATGTGTGACATTTACTGTAATGACAGTCTGCGGGGACCTGCAGGAAGTTGACAACGACAGTTTCAATGAGAAACTTCTATCGTCTGGTCCTATCAGTATTAAAAAAGCAAAAAAAAAGCTGTCCTGCCTTTACTGGAGGATGTAATTATTCCGGCACCTGCTTTGTTCCCGAATGGTGATGGTTTGTAAATTTAAAAGGCAAGAAAAATGCACTGCTTAAAGAGATACTGTACTCAAAAAACACATCTGAACAATTTTAGCAATATTGCTTCTGCTATACGAGCAATTGTTATCTATGGCTGTGAAAGACATGTATTATATAGCCAAGCCTTTGAGTGCACCTGACCATCACATCTACCATATAGCCAAAAGTATGTAGACACCCTTCCAAATTATTGAGTTCAGGTGTTTACAGTGAAGGGTACTGTTACCCATAAAATGGCATGTTTGAAAACTGTGCACTTCCAACCTTGGGTAACAGTTTGGTAAAGGCCCTTTGATGTTCCAGCATGAATGCGCCCCGTGTACAATGCCACCTCTATGAAGAAATGGTTTGATGAAACTTGAGTGTCCTTTACAGAGCCCTGACCTCAACCCTAGTGAAAACCTTAGGCATGAACTGGAATACAAATTGTGTGCCAGGTTTTCTCATTCAACATCACTATCTGACCTTTACATCAGTAAATGCTCTTGGCAGAATGGTCACAAATTCCAAAAACCTTCTCAGAAGAGTTGAAGGCTTCAAAAGGGGAGCTGCAAAAAATAAAAAGGGGGGGGGGGGCAGTACCATATTAATTCCTATAGTTTTGGAATGGGATGTCCAACAAGCTGATATAGGTGTGATGGTCAGGTGTTTACAATCCTTTGATCATACAGTATTCCTTGATGGAGACAATTATATCTTGGTCTCCCTCTAGCAGCAATGCTCTAACATTGGTCAGATGGTCCCTGGCAAAAGGAATCAGGAAGGCTAGTGGTCAGGCAGAGCTGGTCAATTAGCAGCTATGCTTGAACAGTATCCCCTTCTCTTGTTTAGGGTGGCTCCTTTCTCTTGCAGGGTTCTATGGAGCCCCCCTTGTGTGTGCTAGTAAGCTGTGTGTGTATCCACAAACACACAGGAGCAGCAAAACAAGACAATCCCTTTCCCCCTGCTCTCCCTTTCTTCCTTCCTCCCTTCCCCAAGCTAGTAGCTGGAAAGCTGATTTTCCTGTCACTTGTGATCTTGTACTGAACAGAAAGTTCAGGGAAGTGGAGTCAAGAGAGTTGGAGCTGTTTGGATGACTGTAAGTGCTTGGGCAACAATGTAAAGAAATACTTTGCTGGGCAATGTCTATTTGATTGGCTTGGATGTGTTACTGAAAACAAAGTTTGAGAGTTTATTAATACCATAAGGTAAATATTAAAGTAAGAACTCAAAGTACTTGCCGAAAATCCTCAATAGTTTCCCTTTAAATTGAGACAGGAACCAAAAGAATAATGTGAATTTGCATATTTATTTGTGATTCATCTAAGCTGCCACCTGGGCTATTGTAACTCCTGCAGGAACAGGCACACCGTTACAATAAGTAATCTGGAAAACAATTTACTTCCACATAAGTGAATCCTTTCTTTATTAAACTGGCTCTACAGGTGGCTCCTGTCTTTCCCGTGTTTGGAAATGACACCAGCCTGCCTGAACACAGCCACCCTCCGCTATTTTGCTCCCGTCATTTTCCAGTCTAATACAGAATTCTAATTTACACAGCGTACCAAACACGATCACCCCAGTAACACAAATCACAATCGTCTTCAGAGGAGGATGAGATTAAAATAAAAAGACTGATTTATGTCAAACACTGGCCTGCAATCGCAGCTTGTATGTCATTCACTATGTGAAAGGCTTAGGCAGGATTTTGGCAGCGGATAGGGGGGTGGCAGTGTTTTCTTTTTGATAAATTTGCAGACATTGCAAGAGCTGTTTTGGTCGTACCAGTGGAAGCCTGATTCATGAGGAGGGTGTACCGCTTTGTCCAAATGTGACATAGATGGGGTAAATTCAAATCAAGCAGGCTTGCGCTAAAATGCAAGGTCCACTCACTTAGTAGCAGACCCCTATGTAAAATCTCTGCATCAACCTGTAAAAACAAAACACATAAAAAATATACTCACCTTACACATGTCTTCCTCCTTCGGCACCTATGTGGAAGTGGTACCACCATCCTTCCAATGACATCCAAATAATGGTGTAAAGCCGTTGTGACTGCTCAGTCTGCCAAGGATTCAAGGATTAAGCATTGCTTACATCCTCCAGCATCTTATGAAATGATGAGCATCTATCAGGCTTGGCCCCATGGAATAATGCCTATCCTCAGTGTAAAGGACAGAGACTGCCCTTTACATTAGTCCCTAAGTCATGACCCAACACACATGCTATGACTTCAGAGGATGCCAGAATTTTAGAGAATGCAACACTGACCTGTCTGCATCTGAAGTCTGTACTTCTGTTTTACAATTGAATGGATCAGAATGGTGACATAAAGGGAAACAAGGCTTTTTTTTTGTTTTTTGCTAAGCAAATAGCATATTAGTGATATTTTATTTTAGTTATACTGTAGGTTGTGTTTAGTGGGGGCTGAGTCGGCCTTTGGCTCCATATATACAGTATATCTTAAATACTACAACGGTGAGCTCTTTCTGCCTTACCTCCTGGCTCTGTTCTGGTCTACCTGGGAGTTTTGGGTGCCACCACCCAACTTTGGTGTTTTGGCTCCTCTGATACATTCTCCATAATGTAAAACTGAATAAAATATGTTCATTTTGCAATTTATTTAATACAGGTATTTATATAGTGCCAACAGCGCTTTAACTGCACATTCATATCAGTCCCTGCCCTCAAGGAGCTTACAGTCTATGGCAGCGTTACTTAACCTTTTTTTAGCCACGGCACCCTTTAAAAGTATGCAAAATCTTGAGGCACCTCAGTGTACAATGTCAGATTTTAATGGGGACTCCACACAACAACACACACAAAAAAGTGGGTTTCCTCCTTCACATCAAAGTGGCCCTTCAAATCAAGATTCTCCCCTTCACATCAGAGTCACCTTTGTCATCAGAAGCCCCAGTTTCACATCAGAGTGCCCCCTTTACATCAGGAGCCCCTTTAACATCAGTCTTAATTCTTCACATCACAATCTCACTGCCAAATTTTGAGACACCCCTGAGGAAGCCAGAAGACACACCAGGGTGCCTCGGCACCCCTGAGGAAGCCAGAAGACACACCAGGGTGCCTCGGCACCCTGATTGAGAAAGGCTTAAGTCCCTATCTCACATACTAGGACCGATTTAGACAGGATCCAATTAACCCACCAGAATGTGTGGGAGGAAACTAGAGTACCCAGAGGAACCCACACAAGCACAGGGAGAACATGATAACTCCATGCAGATAGTGTGCTGACACTGACAGGGATGCATAATGGGGACTCCAAGTGCTGCAAGGCAGAAGTGTTAAAGGAGAACTATGAGGTGAGTGCTTTTCACTCACCTCATAGTTCTAGCCGACCTGTGACAATGAGACTGTCACAGGTCAGCTCAGTAGATCGAGAAGTGAGCGAACACATACCGGCGTTTGCTCACCTCTCGATCCTGTCACAGCTCTCTGCAGTGACAGGGGAGGGGCTGGATTCCCCTCTCCCCGCTCCGATCCGCCAACGCTGACTGGCGGATTGGACGGAGGAGGGGGCGGGTACAGCTGGCTCTGCTTCTAGATAGGCAGGGCCAGCTGTCACTCATGCAGCTGGACGGATCCAGACATAATTGTCGGAATCCGCTTCAGCTGCGGCGTCTCAGTATACCGCGAGCAGTAGCTTGCGGTATACTGTGGCGTCTCAGTATACCGCGAGCTGTAGCTCGCGGTATACTGAGCTTAGGGTGACGGGAGGATGCTAGTTTGTGTCCTCACGTTACCCTAAGGAGAACTATGGAGAAAAGCCTTAACCCCATAGTTCTCCTTTAACTACTACAAAACTGTGCACAATTAATAAGCATCAAATGCACAATACTATAGAAGGTAAAGTAGTGTGGTCCATTGCCTTATAGACCTGAGGAGGTACCACTGGGGGAAGACTGTGCTTTATTATAAATGTCAGACTGAAAATTAAGATTTTATCAGAAAAAGTGTATCAGTGGAACAAGAAGGACAAAGATTTATATAAGTAAAGAATCAGAATGATATCATTAAAAAATATAACACTGAATTTATGCTGCATTAGTCTCTAAACGGTCACACAAATGGGGAGTGACAAGGCTGGTAAATTGGTCTTACCACGGGGAGCCGTATATGCGGAATCCTCGCACTGTCACTTCCGAATCTTGGAGATAGATGCAGTTTGTGAGAAGCGATTGGACATTCTCATAATTCTCCGGCTTCAGCTTAGACACGGAAGGAAAATAATAGAAGTCTTGTTTGATTAAGTCCGCCATAAACTCGTGGTCAAACGTCAGCTCATGATTTCCTGCTATGACAATCTTATATTCGTATGGGAGACTTCCTAAGAGAGAACACATTAGACTACCTTAGACAACCTTTCTAATAGAATTCACAAATCCCATCTTATCTGAAAACATAAAAGATTCTGTTGAATTCACATTATGATGGTATAACCTCACACAAGATGGTATAACCTCACACAAACTGATTCTTTCTGAATGTGAGTGGGCCGGCAGCTTCATTCCAAGAGATTAGCATGAAGAAGACTTAGCTGGTATAAAATTTTACTTGGAAGCTTACCGCTGTGCCAAGTGACTATATTGTTATATAAGTGACAGACCTAAGAGGGTAGCTTAAATAAAAACTCAACTTTTGCTAGTGTACCCCCCATCACTTTCTGTGATGTGGCTATTAGACATTGTGATAGCCAGGGCTGTAGTTTGTAGTGGCGATTATGTGGCTAATCCCAGGTGTCTAACATTGTTTGTACCTCCCTGGGCGGAGTGAGACTCTGTCATATTGTGGGACAGCCAATAGAAGACACTGTAATGTATGTACAGTACAGCAGCCAATCACTGGACTTTTCTCAGCCAGTGGTGCATGCTGGGATAGAGTACATATATTGGTGGGAGCTGCCATGTGCTCTCTCTCTTGCCAGGACCAGCCATGGATTAAGGCTTGGTCCTGTTCAGCCTGCCCCCCCAAGCCAGGCCGAGGCCTGGGGGTGGGCATGGGCTGGGATGAGGGAAAAGATTTCCCTGAGGCCTCCAACATGGAGGAGACCTGAGAGACTGAAAGAGGAAAAGAACCAGGACCAGTGCAGGCTCTTGAGGTACCCTGGAACTAAGTGGACTTCAGAGTATGGTCGGTGTCTTTCCTGATTGAGGACCTGCATCCATTCTGTCTGTCTGTCGCATCAATGGTTATCTGATGTCTCCCAGGTGGATCTGCATTGATACTACTACAAGGTCCGGTGAGTCTGGAGCTTCTGATGGTTACCCCTGGACACATAGAACCCCTATACCCTCTCTCCGAAAGTGAATATCCAATAAATAGTTTACTTAGCATCTTACTACTAGAGTGGACATCAGTTTATGGGCTCCAGAAGTGGGTGGTTAGAGCTAATGGGTGTGCGCCTGAAGATCATCCCCTAGACCGACTAGAAGTGAACCGGGCACCAGCGGCTCATCCGGGAGTTATCGCTACACTAAAATATATCTATATATATATATCGATATAGATATATATCTATATCGAAATAGATATACAGTATATCTATATCGATATAGATATATATCTATATATCTATATAATACATATATGTAATTTCTGCACATGCACCTTTTTCATTTGCATGTTAAAAAAATCAAACATTTTGAAGACTGCACTGAGCTTTCAGGTCCACCCTGCAACAGGAGTCATTTTTCTTTCTTCTTGCCTATGCCAATGGACGCTGGACTTGTGCTGATTGGAATTTGCAGCTTGCATCCAGACTCTTTCTCCTTGCATTGTAGATCTATTGAATACACTTCAGTTCATTGACAAGTGCATTTGATCTCCTTCTGACCTGCATTGTATATCTTTCTATACATTCTAAGCTGCATCAACCTGCTTCAAGCTGTTTTGCATTCCCATTGACTTGCATGTGAAGAGAAGCAGTTCTGACTCGAACTAAAGTCCATCGACACAGGCACTAAGGCTCATCCTTACTTGTGGGAATACAAAGCCTGCAACTTTACTACTACACCTTACTCAGGTGGTTATAAGGAAAACAGACTTCATTTAGAATTCAGTTTGGAACTTACCTTTAACAAAAATATAATGGAGAACATATAGATGTTAATTTCCACAGGGACTTATTTTTGAAGGTGTCTAAAATATAAAATATCTCCACAAAACTGCTGGATTTAGGTCACGGTGTGCATGCTTCATATGGTGTGGAGCCATCTGGAAGTTGAAGGCTGAAGGTAAGGCTGCACTCAAGGGGGTGTGGGAAATTAATTAAAATACAACTTCACAAAAGTTGTCCTTTAATTGTCCTTTAAAGGACTTCACAAACGTTGTCCTCTTTTTTACTTCTTAAGGCGCCATTAGTAAAAGGTTGACCAAGTTAATGCAATATTTAGAAAAGAGCACTTTATGTCTACAGAAAATCCTTTACTGTCCCATGGTCTCTTTGATGGGAATTATTTTTTGAATTAAAATGATTAATTGAGTAGTATTGATAAATACTTAATTATTTTTTTTAACCCTAATAATCTCAATAGAGGTTTCAAAAAGTATTTAGCAGGGCAGAAAAAGATATATGTATGGCAAATCGTGCTTTATTCAGTACAGAAAGTAATGTAAGTTGCTAAAAAATGGAGAGGGAAGACACGGCTGGAACCACTGACCTCATGGGCCTATGAGCAGTTGCCACTCCTAAACCCCCATAGCCATGCCCTAGGAGGTTGGGCTAATTTGGTGTGATATTCTATGGGATTAGGTGGCCAGTTTAGGTCTAGGTGATGTTTCTAAAGCTCACTCATGTCAAGTAAATTTCCCTTTAATTCAGAAAGAAAAACAGAACGGTTTTTATAAATTAGAATGATGTATGTTTGTATCATTGACTTTTGGAAATTTATGATATATGGCAGTAACTATGCTTGATAATGAATGTAGAATTGTTCTACATAAGCAGTATACAGCAGGTATTATGCATGTCAACCTGAAAACACAAATCATGCCTTTTATTTGCATCTGTTAACACTTATCGTTAGCCTGTTCATAGCTGTCGTCAACATCCAGGCTAAAATGATCAGATGCCCAAAACTGATTTTTTTGTTTTTTTATGATGCTGGACAATTAAACTATTTCCTAGGTCTGCACACCTGCTTTCCCCATAATAAGAGGCTCCCATCATTCCTACTGGATTTTTTATATATTTTATATGATGGAAAATGTAACAAAAAGAGTTGGAACGCACAATGATGGGTGGGAACACCCAAAACTACCAGATGGGTTGAAAAGAGACTCGGGAATTATGGCAATGAGGTCACACTGCTAGAGTGTCCAAGACATGTAAAAAGCAATGGGCTGACTTAGTTGACTAAGTTCCACCTATATCTGGAGTATAATTTTGGGTGAACTGAACCCTTTAATATTAAGGACAATTTTGTCTCTGTCCCTAATAAACGTTGGCACTTTGTAGCTCACTCTATTTTTAGTGGAAAGCTCACAATCTCCTTTCCTAGGTTCCGGAAGGCCCTTTTGTGCACTGACTGCTTGACATTGTTAGTTTTTGGCACAGAGTTTCACTCTTTGTGCTAAGTGTTGCCCATCACACTTAGCACAAAGTGTTACCTTCCTGCAGCAATTAAAGTGCCCAGTTTCCACTCACCCAGCCAGTCGTTAAATTTTTTCACTTCACTAGGCAGTCCGAGCTCTGTAAAATCTCCGGCGTGAATTAGAACGTCCCCATATGGCATCTGGAGGAGATCAGTTCTTGAGTGGGTGTCAGAAATACAGACAAATCTGGTGTACCCAGGTGGTTTGGGGGCATCATGGGGTACAGGATCCACCCTGGAAAGAGAAAGCATTTAGTGAATTTCCGTTTCCATACATCTCTGAATGCCTAGATAGCAGGCTCACTAAAACTAGAGTGCAGATCTGAAGTGGTGTTGTGCCCTAGCTTGGCATATATTATTACAATGGTCTTTTCAGATTTGAGGGTGGTGAATTATATAAGGCTATTGTGTTTGTTCAAACATTGACAGGGTCTGTTGGAAACTTTGGATCGAAGCGAGATGTTCTGTTCTGATGTGCCTCCCTTCTAGCAGTGACCTTTTAATTTCTAATGTTAGCACAAAGAAGGAGCTGTGGAAATGGGGGGCTAAACTACTGAGTCACTGCTGGGAGTGGGGAGCAAAGTGAGCTAACATTTTGAAAAGCGAAGTTTAAAAATTGCAGACACTATGTAGCAATTCAACCTCAAAATTGACACCAGAAGATTTTTGGTTGTTCGAACTGTAGATTTAAAACTCAAGGCAAGAGAAAAAAATATACCCTTAGAATGGGGCCACACCTGGGTAAATTGCTTGTTTATGCCTAGGATTCCAAGAAGAAGAACCTTTTACTGGTAGCTTAGCATAAGTACAATTACAATTATTTATATAGAGCCAACATATTCTGCAGCTTGTACAATCGTTTAGGCAAGACAAGTAAGAAACACTGACAAACATCATTGACATACAGAAACAGTAGGGGAGGAGGACCCTGCCCAAACGAGCTTACAATCTAAGAGGAAGGTGACCAAAGACACAGTGGTGGGAAGGGGAGACTACAGATGTATACCAAATAAAATTTGGGAGTACTGTGAAACGGGAGCAGAAGGAAAGGTTTTAGAGGGTGAGAAACCAAGGAGAGAGCTGATACGCTTCTCTAAAGAGGTGCGTTTTGAGGGATTTTTTAAAGTCTTGTAGGGATGGTGAGAGCCTGATGTGGCGTGGGAGAGAATTCCATAAGGTGAGGGCAGCGCTGGTGAGGTCCTGTAGATGAGAGTTGGGTGTAAACGTGAGTGGGCAGGATAGTTTCAGGTCATTAGTGGTACGAAGGGGCCGATTTGGAGCATATATTCTAATTAGGGATGAAATGTAGTAAGACGGTGCGTGGTTATGCAGAGCTTTGTAGGTAAGGCTGAGAAGTTTGAAGTGTATCCTAAAAGAAACAGGAAACCAGTGCAGAGATTGACAGAGGGGTGATGTATGAGAGTAGCAAGAGGTAAGGTAGATGAGTCTGGCTGATACGTTCATGATAGATTGAAGGGGGGCAATCTGGGCACATTTCAGGCCGATGAGAAGAAGGTTGCAGTAGTCAAGTCGGGAAATTATTAGCGCACCGACAAGCATTTTGGTGGAAAAGGTAAAATTTGCAAGATGTTTTTCAGATAAAAACAACACAATTAAGTGATAGACTGAATGGGAGGGGAGAAGAAGAGGTCAGAGTCAAAAGGCACGCCAAGGCATCGTGCCTGCAGAGTAGAGGAAATGGTTACTCCATCAACCTGAGGAGAGATGGATATAGGGGTAGCCTTAGAGGGAGGAAACACAAGGAGTTCGGTCTTAGAGAGGTTCAGTTTGAGGAAGCAGGTAGTCATCTATTTTGAAACAGCGGATAGGCAATCAGTTACGTGAGCCAACAGATTGGGGGAAAGATCCCGTGAGGAGCGGTGGCATAAACGAGCATTTAACTCTTGCAATACATGGGCAGCCTCACTGCAAGGGTATTTTTTCCCCCGGAGCTGAACTTTAAATGCACATATAATATATCATATTATTTATGTAAACATATATAAAAACAACTTCTGAAATTCTAACATGATGGAGCGATTAGCGATTTTGTTTACACATACTTAAAAAAATTGTAGACATTAAAATATCTTAAAATAAAATTGACCAAAACTGTTATCCTAGTGTGCCCTAAAGACATGTTGAATAAGGTCCACTATGACAAATAAGCCCTTAGTCCCTAGAAATGACGCACCATAAAATGAACTGCAAATGCCTGCACAGCTCCAGTCTGCTTAACATTTGTTTCAAGCTGCAGTCCTTCTGCACATTCCTTCGATGTGGCCGATGAAAATAACTCTAGTACAGAACATCTTCTACCTTGTGAAGTCAGGAAGCCTGTTTTGCATATTTTATTGGCAGCTATTGGCATTTCCTTTACAAGAGATTTAATTTGTGGAGGATGCCGCTTTGTTACCCTAGCTACATCCATCTCTGTATAAAAGAAAGAGGAGATAAATAGGTGTTCAAAGACCCTGCTTGTTTCTTTAGTAGTTAGTCCTGTAGACTCTTTAAAGTCGGGCTGAATCCCAGGAGCAAGGTAGCCAGCAGCCTAAAAGTTATTGCTAAAGCACTGATAGTTATTTCCTTTCCTCACATTGCCAACAAAACTCACGCCATCACTTTTAAATGTGTCTGCTGATTTCCAGAATCTCCCTGTGGGAAGACCAATTTTGTAGCAGACTGGATTGGCCTTTGTAGTGATTACATAAGACTCGATGTAACGTGGGGTAAATTTCCCCAGAGGTGGACCAAATATGGATAAAGTCCTAAATCACAGAATGCAGGGATCTCCGGGGAGCAAGGTATTCACAAAGGAAGACAGGGAGAATTGCCACAGACAATTAAAACAATGAAAACCTCTTGGTGCTTGTGTTAAGATGGTTATTGTGAGCAAATTCTGCCCAAGGCAGGAGGTAAACCTAATCCTCATGAGCAGACACTAGGGTGTGATGGTATTGTTCCAAGAATTGTGTGATACTTCAAGTTTGTCCATTATTCTATGTATGATAGGCCAAGGAAAACAGCAAGGGATACTCAAAAACTTACAAAGCAGGTGAATCAGACCCCGAAATGTGGGTTGTCATGCCATAAAGCCTGAAGATTGCCTGGATGAAGGGATGCTGTCAGGGCAGCGAAGAAAGGGGAATGAATTGTGCCACTTTAGAAAAATGACCCACCACTACCGAAATAACCTTACAGCCATCAGAAGGAGTGAGGTCACTAATAAAGTCCATTGAAACGTGGTGCCAAAGCTCTTTGGGAATGGGTTGCAGTAGAAGGGGATCCATAGGTGCAGGAGACTTGGTGTGGGCACATATCGCACAAGCTCTTAGGTAGTCCTGTGTATCCTTTAAGAGATTTGGGGGTTGATTTACTAACCTTATAAACACGCCACGAACATGTATACACCTCTGTAGTGTGTTCCCTCCCAGCATGATCTATGGGTGGAATTTAAACACCTTTGTAGTGTGTACACACCCAGCAGGTGTGTTGTGCAAAGCCCTGCCCTGAATTGCAAGGTGATGTTGTGTAAATTAGCTCTACTTTGTGTTGCTTGCGTTGATGAATGCAGGAATGTAAATGCATGAGCTAACCATTTTTGTCTAAACTGTGAAGCAGCATTATATATGCATCATGTGCATGATTTTTCCATATATGGCATTAGTGGAAATATGCTTATAGAGACTTTTTGGTTGATAAATACACTTTGCTGTGTAAAAATCACACGCACCTGGTGCGTGCGTGTGTTTAGGTTAGTTAATCACCCCCTTGGCCTCAGTTACAGGTAAGAAACAAATGTGAGAGTTCTGTGGACACCAGGATGTTGTGGGCTCAACATAGGAGTTTAGTGCACTAGAGTCTTGCTCTTGGGAATAGCGAATTCCTGGATAGATGTCAGGGCCAGGATGGGAGTGGTTGAAAAGCCCCGTTTGATAGCAAGCAGTTCTCGATCACTGGAGGAATATTTCTTTAATTTTCAAAGATCAGGTTCGTTAGACCTTACTATCTTCACAGAGGAGACTTGTCTGTCTTTTTTACAAAGAAGAATCCTGCCCCAGCAAGAGAAGAAGATGTGCAGAAAAAGCCATTTTGGGGATTCTTGGAGATGTATTCGAACATGTTGGGGAAGAGTTTTGAGGAACCAGACAAACTTTCTGATAAGGGATGCAGAAACAAAGCTGACAGCTGCTTCCACATCTAAGAAGGTTTCCAAGGTGACAGTGAACAGACAGCTACCCTGGAATTGTGGGGCATTGAGAAGAGAGGTGAATAGAGTGCTCCAACATGCCCCGCTCCAGACACACCAGGCAATTGAGTTTCCCTGCCACTGTAGACATTGCTTAATAAAGTGCCATTCTTGTCCACAGTAACATGACTTGGGACTGATGTCTGGACCTTTTTTCATAAAACAAACATGAGTCGCATGGGCAGTGAAAGGTGGCGCTCGAATGTTTGCACCAGGTAAGGAGAAAAAGGCTTTTGTAGGTGATATCTTACTTGAGAGCACTCTTAAAGCAAATGTCTATTTGTATAGCCAGGAATTTCACATCCAGCCAGTTCATCTATATTTTGCTTAGACAACCCCCCGCCAGCAGGTGGCTGTGAGAGCTTTATTATTCCAGGCAAGTTCAGTCGCACGAGTTTGAAACCGAATCACATTGTGGCCTACTGTAAGCGAGCCTTGGCATAGGTGTAGGAGGGCGCTGTCTGCAGAGGAGAATCGAGCAGACTCATCGAAGATTCTACAGAAGAAAGCCAAAAAAGCAGCAATGTTGTTGGTCACAGGATTGCCTTCTTCCCAGAGCAGGGATGCCTAGGTCAAAGCATTAAAACATCTCATATATTATTTACATTGTGTGGTTATCTTTTAAGCTTTCTCTAGTGTCCACTGAATAATCCATACATTTTGGAAGGTGCCAAGCAACTTTGGTCATACTGATTTGGCCATACGTGTGTTAGACATCTAGAAGATCGAGACCAAGCACAGTCAGGAAGCCTTATCTTTGCATTTATTGTATCTTCATATTGTTACAGAAAAGTCTCTGGTCACAGGAAATGTTGGGGATCTTAGCTCTGGAAAGCCACAGGTTGCCTCTCCAGTCATTATACTGCAATAGACAGAGACATCTGATCTACAGGAATATGCACTTTGCACAAGCCGAAACAAATTATCAGAAAAATAAATGGCAAGGCAAAGCAGATTTTCCCATCGCTGCCACCTTCTCTCATGTC